AACCTCTGGAAGAAAATCTAGGCAAAACCATTCAGGACATAGGTGTAGGCAAGGACTTCATGACCAAAACACCAAAAGCATTGACAACAAAAGCCAAAATAGACAAATGGGGCCTAATCAAACTCCACAGTTTCTGCACAGCAAAAGAAGCAGTCATTAGAGTGAATCGGTAACCAACAGAATGGCAAAAAAATTTTGCAGTTTACCCGTCTGACAAAGGGCTGATATCCAGAATTTACAAAGAACTAAAACAGATTTACAAGAAAAAAACTAACAAGCCCATTCAAAAGTGGGCAAAAGATATGAACAGACACTTTACAAAAGAAGACATACAGGAGGCCAACAAACATATGAAAAAATGCTCATCATCACTGGTCATCAGAGAAATGCAAATCAAAACATTGAGATACCATCTGACGCCAATTAGAATGGTGGTCATTAAAAAATCTGGGGACAACAGATGCTGGAGAGGATGTGGAGAAATAGGAACACTTTTGCACTGTTGGTGGGAGTGTAAACCATTGTGGAAGGCAGTGTGGCGATTCCTCAGGGACCTAGAAATAGAAATTCCATTTGACCCAGCAATCCCATTACTGGGTATATATCCAAAGGATTACAAATCGTTCTGCCATAAGGACACATGCACACGAATGTTCATTGTAGCACTGTTTACAATAGCAAAGACCTGTAACCAAGCCAAATGCCCATCGTTGATAGACTGGATAGGGAAAATTTGGCACATATACACCATGGAATATTATGCAGCCATCAAAAATGATGTTTGGGTCCTTTGTAGGGACATGGATGAACCTGGAAACTATCATTCTCAGCAAACTGACAGAAGAGCAGAAGATCAAACACTGCATGTTCTCACTCATATGCGGGTGTTGAACAATGAGGACACATGGACACAGGGAGGGGAGCACTACACACTGTGGTCACTTGGGGTGAAGTAGGGGAGGGTCGTGGGGGGGTTGGGAGCTGAGGAGAGATAGCAAGGGGAGAGATGCCAGATGTAGGTGATGGGGAGGAAGGCAGCAAATCATCCTGCCACATGTGTACCTATGCAACAAATTTGCATGTTCTTCACATGTACCCCGAAACCTAAAATGCAATAAAATAAATAAATGGGAAAGAAAAAGAAGTTTTATGTCTTTAATTTTACCTTTAGGTCTTCCATCCATTCTCAGTTAATCTTTGCATATAGAGTAAATGAAGTATCAAAGTTCACTTATTTCCATGTGAATATCCAGTTTTTCCACCACAATTGGATGAAAATACTCTCCTTGTTGAATTAATTAATTTGAATTAATTCGTCACCTTTGTGAAAAACCAATTGGTCACAGACATGTGTGTCTATTGCTAATCAATTCTGTTTCTTTGCTCTATAAATCTATCCTGTGCAAACCACACTGTCTTCATTAGTCTTGAAATCAGTTGAAAAGAAAGTCTTTCCAACTTTCTCCTGTGAAAAAAATGTTTTGGCTTTTCTATGTCCTTTGTATATACATATATGTAAATTTTTCAGACAGCTTATCGAATTTTGCAAAAAGGTTGTTAGGATATTGATTGGGTCGATGAACCTGTAGATCAATTTGGGCACAATTCACATCTTAAAATTTTTAAATCTCCAAACCTTTAACATGGTATATTAATCTCCATTTATTTTTAGTCTTTAATCTCTCTCAGCAGTGTTTTGAGGTTTTTAGTATACAGAACTTATTAGTATTTTGTTAAACTTATTAGTAATATTTTATGTTTTCGATATTATTATGAATGGGAGTTTTTTAAATTGTTGTTGTTGTTATTATTTATTTATTTTTTGAGTTTCCATTTTATTGGAAGTTTTCAAATCTGGGACTAGCTTTTTTCTTTTACCTTAAATGGTAACTTCAGCCCAGGGTTTTTTCATAACCAAACTAAAAATTAGTTTCTACATGGGAAAATCAATGCAACAAACAAGTAAAATTTGTAAACTCAAACCACAAACTCACAGTTAATAATCACGGTAGGGGGCGTTGCCAAAAAGCAACTAATGCCTCAGTGAGGTTTCAAAGAAACTGCCTTCTGTGAAGTCAGAGAAATATGCAAGCAATTCTGCTTCAAGGAAATTTGCATAGAAATGGAAAATGCTGAAGCCTTTAACACAAGTGAAATTGCAAAGCCTCAACATGTTCAAGTAATCCACAGAGCACCAAACGTTAAATTGGATCCAAGGTAGGATCAAGCATTGAATTTCCAGCTATGCAACTCACAGAGCACAGTTTCAGGTGCAGAAACCATTTGTAGGCAAGCTCTTTGAAAAACATGAATTTCATACACCGTAAATTCTAAAACAGACATTTCTTCATTACTGTTTGAATTTATTTCAAAGTCACTCACAGCAACAATTGTGACTCTTTTCCCAACCTTGGTAGCCCTTTTCACAATTCTCTAACCTGTGCACTGCATCACACCAGTTTGTAGAATGACTTCTGACATTACATCTAGTCATGGCCTAAGTGGCAAGGGGCAGCTATTTCCCAGGCACCTCCCATCTCGTTAGCATGGGAGGCTTCCCAGTCACTTCGCCTCTGTGGTCCCCTTCACCAGAGCCTCCAGAGCTCTTGGCATCGGGATCCCCACGGCTGGGCTCCACAGAGGCCACATCTGGTAGCACTTTTCCTACAGCTCCCTCTGCTGGATACCAAAGTGATTTTGTTTGTTGCAAAGACTTGTAAAACATTACTTACACATTCATTTTTGTACACATGTAGTTAATGTAGAACCTGGGACTTTTATAGTCGGTTCACCAAATGCCTTTATGGAGAGTGACAGACTACGCACCAATGCTGAAGGAGTGCAGCTTATCTCTCTAGGAAGAAGAGGATTAGCAGACATAATTGTGTGCCTCAAGAGAAATTTGTAATAAAAAAATTAAAGACGAAGGACCCCAAAACCCATATTTTATTGACACTTTTTCCTGCAGAGAATCTTAGACGTCATGTTTTCTTTTAATGAATGAGAGGAGCCCACTCTTATCCTGTATCATTGTTTGCGAACAGTGACAGTCACACTTTTTAAAATAACAGCCACTCCCTTCAGCCCACACCTCCACACCCTCATCTGTCTCCCCAAGGCTGTCAGTTCCGTCAAGTCAATCCCTCCTACTCTGGTATTACCTCAAGAATGGAAATTTTTAAGCAGAAAACAAAAGAAGTTACAAATAATTGAGTGGGGATCAAAGGGAAGCCCTTTGAGACTATGATTTCCATTTTCTGTTCAATGAGCACTGCAGAGATACAAGGATAAACCACCATTTTGGTTCCTAAGTTTTATTCAAGAACACATACAAAATATTCCAGATAAATGAAATTTAATCCTTGTCTTCCTTCTCTTCTTCGTCCTGGTTAATCTGGAAGTAACGTAATTCGTAACTCTCTATGCTGTTAGCAACTACTCCCAAAAAATCACGTAGATTATTTTTCTTCAAATATTTTTTGGTGAGATATTTCAAATGCCTTTTGCAGAAAGTCACCTCAGACGTCATGGTGACCTTGCTCTTGCTCCCTTCGATGGTCATCACCCCTCCACCAAGGTTCCCGGCTTATCCGTTCACCTTGACCTTTTCTTGCAAAACTGCTCAAAATTGGCAGCATCCATGATTCCATCTTCTACAGGGTGGGTGCAATCAAGAGTGAACTTCAGAACTGGCTTCTTTTTTTTGCCCCCTTTCACCACAAGCTTTTTCATGGGAGCCATGGCGGCTGTGGAGGCAGGAAGAGAGATGAGTGAATTTTGTTGTTGTTGTTTTCTCAAATAGAGTCTCACTCTGTTGCCCAGGCTTGAGTGCAGTGTCATGACCTCGATTTACGTGGTTCAAGCAATTCTTCTGCCTCAGCCTCCGCAGTAGCTGGTATCACAGAACCCCACCACCAGCATACCTGGATATATTTTGCATTTTAAGTGGAGGTGGGGTTTCGTCATGTTGGCCAGGCTGGTCTCGAACTCCTGACTTCATGATCCACTCATCTCAACCTCCCAAAATGCTGAGATCACAGGCATGAACCACCACACCCAGCCTGAATGGGACTGTTTTTAAAGTTTTATTTTTCAGTTCATTGTTGGCATTGACCTCGTATTTTGTGACCTGGTTAAGGTCACTTGTTCATTCAAATACCTGCCACCATGCCCAGCTAATTTTTGTATTTCTAGTAGAGACAGGGATTCATCATGTTGGTCAGGCTGGTCTTGAACTCCTAACCTTAGGTGATTAGCCCACTTGGCTTCCCAAAATGCTGCAATTACAGGCAAGGGTCACTTTGCCCAGCCATCACCTTTAAATTTAGAGAAAAATTTTCCGATTAGGAAATTCTTGGTATTTTTAAAAATTTCTTTTTAAACTTTTATTTCAGAGGTACATGTGCAGCATTATTATATAGGTCAGTTGAGTCTTTCAGTGGTTTATTGTACAGATTGTTCCATCACCAAGGTAGTGAACATAGTATCTGATAGGTAGTCTTATTATCCTCACCCTCCTCCCAAACTCCACCCTCAAGAAGTACCTGGTGTCTGTTGCTTTCTTCTTTCTTTCCATGTGTACTCACTGTCTAGCTGTCACTTATAAGTGAGAACATACAGTATTTGATTTTCTGTTCTGTATTAGATTGCTTAGGATAATGGCCTCCAGCTATCCATATTGCTGCAAAAGACGTGATCTCATTCTTTTGTATGGCTGCATGGTATTTCATGGTGTATAAGTACCACATTTTTAAATCCAGTCTACCATTGTTGGTACTTATGTTGATTCCATGTCTTTACTATTGTGAATACTACTGTGATGGACATATGTATGCACAGGACTTTATAGTAGAAAGGTTCATATTCCTTTGGGAATATACCCACTGGATTGCTGAGGAAAATGCTGGTTTTGCTATAAGTTTTCTGGGTGATTCCAAACTGCTTTTCACAGTCATAGGAATCCCTTTTCAATAAATGTTGCTTGGATAACTCTTCTGGCTACCGATGCAGAAGATTGAAACTGGACCCCTTCCTTTTACCATATGCAAAAATCAACTTAAAATGGATTGAGAGCTTAAACCCAAAACCTAAGGGTTGACGGGGCTATAAAAACCCTTGAAGGAAACCTAGAAGATACCATTGTGGACATAGGTCCTGCAAAGATTTCATGACAAAGATGCTCAGTGCAATGATAACAATAACAAATATTGGCAAATGGGATGTAATGAAACTAAAGAGCACCTGCAAAGTGAAAGAAATTAAGAAAGTAAACAGACAACGTACAGAATTGGAGAAAATATTTGCAAACCATGCACCTATCAAAAGGCTAATATTCAGAATCTATAGGGAACTTAGGTGAAGTCTTACAAGAGCTTTATTCTAGAACGAGTTTTTTCCTGCTGCCAGGAATGTGCATCCATCTATGGGCTGCCTTTTTCTCCCCAGGTGTCTAATGAGTTTTCTCACCCAGTATGATCAGAACTTGCCTATGTTCCAGTTCTTTCTTACATCTAGAAATTGTTCTACTTACAACTCGCCACTAACTGCTCTTCTCCTAGCTGCATGGGGTTTTAATCTTTTAATGCACATCTCAGTTGTCAACTAGGAACTTAAAGAAATCTTAATAAAAAATTGCTACCTTTTTATCTGTGTAGACTTCTCCTCTCCAGGTCCCTGTCCCCCAAAATGTAGCTACCTAAGTCTCCATGAACTCTGGTCCCTCAATTCAGTGAGGCCAAGGTGTTCTGTTTGGCTTCCTTTGCCTCTACAGAGTAAACCACCCCACCTCAGGAATCCATAGATTTACTTTCTGTCACTATAGATTTGATTTTTCTGTTAAAAATTTCATAAAAATGAAATAATGGGTGTGTATTATGATTGATTTTTTCCTGCCTATGACTTGCCTACTTACTTTTTCAGAAATAGATTTTTCAGGAGCAAAAGATTTTTTAAAAACTTTTATTAAAATTTTATTTTATTGCATTATACGTTTTGGAGTAGATGTGAAGAACATGCAAGATTGTTGCATAGGTACACACGTGGGAGTGTGATTTGCTGCCTTCCTCCCCATCACATATATCTGGCATTTCTCCCCATGCTATCACTCCTCAATTCCCCACCCGCCACTAACCCTTCTGTATTTTCCCCCAACAGACCCCAGTGTGTGATGCTCCCCTCCCTGTGTCCATGTGTTCTCATTGTTTGACACCTACTTATAAGTGAGAATATGCAGCGTTTGATCTTCTGCTTTTCTGTCAGTTTGCTGAGAATGATGGTTTCCTGTTTCATCCATGTCCCTACAAAGGGCACAAACTCATCGTTTTTGATGGCTGCATAATATTCTATGGTGTATATGTGCTACATTTTCCCTATCCAGTAAATCATCAATGGGCATTTGGGTTGGTTCCAGGTCTTTGCTATTGTAAACAGTGCTGCAATGAATATTCGTGTGCACGTGTCCTTACAGTAGAACGATTTATAGTCCTTTGGATATATACCCAGTAATGGGATTGCTGGGTCAAATGGAATTTCTATTTCTAGGTCCTTGAGGAATTGCCGCACTGTCTTCCACAGTGGTTGAACTAATTTACACTCCCACCAACAGTGCAAAAGTGTTCCTATTTCTCCACATCCTCTCCAGCATCTGTGGTGTCCAGGTTTTTTAATGATCGCCATTCTAACTGGCTTGAGATGGTGTCTCAATGTAGTTTTGATTTGCATTTCTCTGATGACCAGTGATGATGAGCATGTTTTCATGTGTTTGTTGGCCTCATGTATGTCTTCTTTTGTAAAGTGTCTGTTCATATCCTTTGCCCACTTTTGAATGGGCTTGTTTGTTTTTTTCTTGTAAATCTGTTTTGGTTCTTTGTAAATTCTGGATATCAGCACTTTGTCAGATGGGTAAACTGTGAAAGCTTTTTCCCATTCTGTTGGTTGACGATTCACTCTAATGACTACCTCTTTTGCCATGCAGAAGCTGTGGAATTTGATTAGGTCCCATTTGTCTATTTTGGCTTTTGTTGCCAAGCTTTTGGTGTTTTGGTCACAAAGTCCTTGCCTACAGTATGTACTGAGTGGTTTTGCCTAGATTTTCTTCTACAGGTTTATGGTGTTAGGTTTTATGTTTAAGTCTGTAATCCATCTGGAATTAATTTTAGTGTAAGGTATCAGGAAAGGGTCCAGTTTCTGCTTTCTGCATATGGCTAGCCAGTTTCCCCAACGCCATTTATATTAAACAGGGAATCCTTTCTCCATTGCTTGTTTTTTGTCAGGTTTATCAAAGATCAGATGGTTGTAGATATGTTGTGTTGTCTCCGAGGCCTCTGTTCTGTTCCATTGGTCTATATCTCTGTTTTGGTACCAGTACCATGTTGTTTTGTTTACTGTAGTCCTTGTAGTATAGTTTGAAGTCTTGTAGTGTGATGCCTCCCGCTTTGTTCTTTTTGCTTAGAATTAACTTGGCTATGTGGGCTCTCTTTTGGTTCCATATGAAGTTTAAGGTGTTTTTTTTCCAGTTCTCTGAAGAAGGTCACTGATAGCTTGATGGGGATGGGCAGTTGGCCATTTTCACGATATTTATTCTTCCTAACGATGAACATCGAATGTTTCTCCATCTGTTTGTGTCTTCTCTTATTTCGTTGAGCAGTGGCTTGTAGTTCTCCTTGAAGAGGTCCTTTACGTTCCTTTTTAGTTGTATTCCTAGGTATTTTATTCTCTTTGTGGCAATTGTGAATGGTAGTTCGTTCTTAATTTATCTCTCTTTAAGTCTGTTATTGGTGTATAGGAATGCTTGTGATTTTTGTACATTGATTTTGTATCCTGAGACTTTGCTGAAGTTGCTTATCAGTTTCAGGAGATTTTGGACTGAGACGATGGGATCTTCTAGATATACAATCATGTCGTCTGCAAATAGAGACAGTTTGACTTCCTCCTTTCCTATTTGAATACCCTTTATTTCTTTTTCTTGCCTGATTGCTCTGGCTAGAACTTCCAGCACTATATTGAATAGGAGTGGTGAGAGAGGGCATCCTTGTCTGGTGCCAGATATCAAAGGGAATGCTTCCAGTTTTTGCCCATTCAATATGATATTAGCTGTTGGTTTGTCATAAATAGCTTTTATTATTTTAAGATACATTCCGCCAATACCTAGCTTATTGAGGTTTTTAGCATAAAGGTCTGTTGAATTTTGTCAAAGGCCTTCTCTGCATCAATTGAGATAATCATGTGGTTTTTGTCTTTGGTTCTGTTTATGTGATGAATTACGTCTATAGACTTGTGTATATTTAACAAGGCTTGCATCCCCGGGATGAAGCTTACTTTATCATGGTGGATAAGCTTTTTGATGTGCTGTTGCAATCGGTTTGTCAGTGTTTTATTGAAGATTTTTGCATGTATGTTCATCAGGGATATTGGCCTGAAGTTTTCTTTTCTTTTTGAGTCTCTACCAGGTTTTGGAATCAGGATGATGTTTTTATGTTTGTCTCATAAAATGATTTGGGAAGAATTCCGTCTTTTTGTGTTGTTTGGAATAGTTTCAGAAGGAATGGTACCAGCTCCTCTTTGTATGTCTGGTAGAATTTGACTGTGAACCCGTCTAGACCTTTTTTTGGGTGGTAAGCTCATAATTGCTGCCTCAACTTCAGACCTTGTTATGGGTCTGTTCAGGGTTTCGGTTTCTTCCTGGTTTAGGCTTGGGAGGAGGCAAGTGTCCAGGTATTTATCCCTTTCTTACAGGTTTACTA